GGAGAGGGAGGGGCAAAAGAGGAGCTCATACCAAGGACTCAGGTAGAAAGGAAATGTTTTGGAAATGATGATGGCCACATATGTACAAATGTGCTTGACACAACTGATGTATGGATTGTTATAGGAGCTGTAAGAGCACCCAATAAAATGATTTATTTATTAAAGAAATAAAAAGTGTGTGCTCTGAACGTAGACTGCTTATGTTCAAATCCTTATTCTACCACTAACTTTTGTCTGCGATCATCAGTTCTTAAACTCTCTTAGCCTTGGATGGAAAGTAGGATAATATCAATAGCACAGAGTTGATGCCCACGTTAAATGAAATGGTACATTTAATCATGTATCGCAGTGCCTGGTACACAGTGATTGCTTCATAAATGTTAGCTATTATTAGAACACCAAGTAAATATCTTTGTAAAGGAATGTGACTTTGTATATCTTACTTTGGTAGTTATCTCAGTCTTAACCTGATAAGTCCCTCTCTGTATTTATAATTCATTATAGTTCTTTTGCTGAGAATAGCACTGAGTTGGCATGATTGTATGTAAACAATATGACTCCGAAGTTAAAATGTATTATAGGGAGCAAAGAATCTAAAATTGTCGCCCACAAATTGCGGAATAAGAAAGAAAACTAATTGGTTTATTAGCAGAGTTGTTCAGGGTACCAACTCTGGAACTAGAACGCCATGGTTTATATTCTGACACCCCCTGCACTAGCTCATTGACCTTCAAAACGTGACTTCTCTCTGCCTCAAAATCTTCATCTATGAAAAAGTGGTAATAATAACACCTGTGTCATCAGTTACTGATGAGTACAGATGATCACTGGCCCCCATAAACACACGCGAGATCGTGTATATAAATTGCTCTGACCCTATCAATGTGACATGCAAGTACTTAGTTCCCTGTTGTTGTGGTTCAATGCCCTAGAGTCACCTCAGACTAAGAGCCACCCTGTGCACACGATAGAAGGAAACAGTGCCCAGTCTCTGCCATCCTCGTAATTGTTACATTTGAGTCCATTGTTGCAGCCACTGTCTTATTGATACTGTGTTTAATTCACTGACTGACACAAAAGAAACACTAGATTTTCCAGCTATTCATATTTTTCCTCTAAATATGTATTTCGGGAATATTTTGTTTATAAGGGAAAATCATGCAAAAGTCTTGAATTCTCTTTTTTGTCTCTAGTTTAATGTAGTGAAACATAAGTCTGTCGAGTGTGTGAAACTGGAAGCCAGCTTTGCGTTGGTCAGACTTTAAAATGGGGGACCCACTCTATCCCACACTTATCTCCAGCCCTTCTGAAGACTATACAATCGCCTTTCTTCATGGCCTGTGTGATTACCTGTAAGATGTTCTGCTTATCAATAGGGATCTACAACACAAGAACCCTTTTCTTACTTCCCCACATCTGTGAAAGTGTACTTTTAAAGGATGTTATTGATATTATTATTGCTTAATTCTCTGGGCCTTCCTCTTTCTTCTGTTTCCTACTCTTTTGTAGTTCATGTTATTGGCCACCCCATCTTTTTTTCCTCTCTGCCCAATGTCAGCATGACTATACTCTGAGCCCCCTTTTTCCCCAGCATTACCTCTGTGATTCCCATGGGCGCACATTGGTCATCATCTGCCTCTACCGGCACATGTTTGCTGACTCCCAACCCTTTGTCTCTATCTCAACTCAATAACTCACTGAGTCGATTCTGACTCATAGTGACCCTATAGGGCAGGGTAGAACAGGTCGTATGGGTTTCAAAGACTAACTCTTTACGGGAGTAAAAGCCTCACCTTTCTCAAATGAAGTGACTGATAGTTTCAAATGGCCAACCTTGAGGTTAGCATCCCAGTGGGGCTCCTTGTCTCTATATAGTGTCTTCAATCGGAAGTAACAAGACATCGCAACTGGAAGTGATTTTAAACACCAGAATGTAATGTCTGATGATTCTGGAGGCTTGTAGTCTGGAAGTAGAAAGCTGCCAGGGCTTGGCTCTGTCGGAAGGTTTTAGAGATGATTCTCTGGTATCTGCTGCTGGTAGCACCATGCGTTCCTTGGCGCGCGGCAGAGTCATTCCATTTTCACCTTTCTGTGTCCCCACTCCTCTTTGACAAGGACATCCCTCCAATTGGGTTAAACACACCCTGCTCCAGTAAGTGAGGAATGAAAATACTTGAGAGGTATATTTTAAATGTTAATTAATAGTTATATATCATATTTATGGCTTTCACTTTCTTAGTAAATGGTATTTGTTTTAATTTACAATATTCATAAACAACTTATTTCCAGATGAATTTTATCATAATTAAATATATTAATTTAAAGGGAAATATTAAATACATAAGAGTACTAGAGGAGGTATAAAAAGGTGCAATTAGCACTCTACGAACTTGTGTGTTTAAAATATTGTTATGAGTTCTATTTAGAGTCTGTGCTTAATAAACATACATCTCTCTAGAAAGCAGTTTTTTAGACCCATTTCCTAAAAATCACTACCTACAAAAAACCAAACCCACTTAGAGGAAGTGGATTTTGACGTATAGGAACTCTATAAACGGTTTCTGAGACCTGAATCTTTATTGGAACAGACAACCCCATCTTTCTCCAGCAGAGCTGCTGATGGATTTGAACCACTGCCTTTGTGCTGCATGGTCTCACACTTAGGACCCCTGATCTAGTGCTTACATATTGGGCTGCCATCTGCAAAGTCATCAAGCCAAGCCCATTGCTCATTGGGAAGAAAAAGGAGGCTTTCTGTTCCTGTGGCATGGTGGTTGTCAGTTGGCTGCTAACTGCAAGTTCAACAGTTCAAAAACACCAGATTCCTCCTGGGGAGAAAGACTAGGCTTTCTATTCTCCTAAAGAGTTACAGTCTTAGAAACCCACCATAGTTCTCTGCTACAGGGTCACTATGAGTCAGAATTCACTTGGTGGCAATGAGTTCCCTTTAGTGGGGAGGCCAATGCCTAACCCACGGTGCCACCAGGGCTCCTTTGGGTAAAACCTTCAAACCATCTAAATTCAACTGCCATGAAGTCAGTTCTGACTCCTCAGGACTCAATCGCACCCCCACAGGACAGAGGAGAATTGTTTCTGTGAGTTTCTTAGACTACAAACCTCTCCAGGACAGAACAAAACAAACTCACTGATGGTAACCCTAGAGGACAGGAGAGAACTACCCCTGGGAGTTTTGAAGCCTGTAACTCTTTATGAGAGTTGAAAGGTCCATCTTTCTGCCCTAGAGCTGCGGGTGGTTTCAAACTGCTGATGCTGACCTTGTAGTTAGCAGCCCAACTGATAACCACTATACCCTGAGAGCTCCTTTGTGAAAAAACTAACAGACACTTAATTTCAGAGTGAGGCCAAGTGTAGACCTGTTTCTTCAGACACCCATTCCCACTGCTGTGCCTAGAGTTTCCTCTCTCCCAGAAAGCCCAAGTGGGCCATTCCTAACATAATAAACACCGAATTCTCCAAGAGAACATTTGATCCCATCCACACAAAAAGCATTTGTAAAAGAGAACGGCTTCTTGTGTTAGACATACTGGTTTTCCCTGTTCAATCCCATCTTTTATTTGAGAACATTGGAAGGCCGCCCTCTGCATCTATCTTTCAGTGGTTTCCGCAGGCAGGTGAGGCTCCCTCACCATGCACACTGAGTCATGGGTGTGAATGTAAGTTCTCACGAGGTGAGGGCCGGGGAAGATTACACATAGGCAACCACTGAGGGTCTGCTTGTTGGTGGGACGTGAAAAGTCAGACTCCAAAGCCCAGAGACTGACATGGAAAATGAATCTATGGAGGAAAAAATGTAAACCACAGAAAAACCAGTGGAGGGTTCTTTCATTCATTCATGGTTTTGTTGTGAAATTATGGAGGAACCAACTAGAAATGGTTGTAGAATATGAAATATACGGCATTAAATGCCATTCAACGCCTTTAATGTGTTACTTATTCATCCCGTATTCTCACAGTAATACTTACTGAGCCCTTCCTATACCTGTGTGGAGGTTCTGGTACACTCTAATCACATATTTATTTGAATCTCTAGAAAAAAACGAAGGGTTAAAAACTATTTGTTTATGTTGACTTCAATCGAGAGTGAGCTGGAATTATGAGAAAGTGTTTGAAAAGTGATGTGTTATAAACTGTTGTTTTTTTTGCTTTCCTGTAATTGGAGCAACATACTAATTTCTACAAGTTGTGACTACTAACAGAGAGCAATCACCTCACAGACTTGTACCGAAAAGACGAAGCCATCCAGGTGACAGGAAACGGCCACCTGCAGAGTCCTCGCTTCCCAAACAGCTACCCACGGAACCTGCTTCTGACATGGAGCCTCCGTTCTCGGGAGAAAACGAGGATCCAGCTATCATTTGACAATCAGTTTGGATTGGAGGAAGCAGAAAATGATATCTGTAGGTAAGTGGAGTGGGGGGTGGGGGGTGGGGGGAATCCATCCTTAGGATATTTTTCCAAGATATAAAAATGATATATCAAAAACAGCACATCAGACTCCCCTTTGGGGCCCTCTGTACCTGGACACACTACTGCTTTTTAAGAACATTTATGTCTGCCCTGGAAGACAAATGGCATCCTGCACAGACCGCAGCTGCAGACAACAAAATACATTTTCATGAGTCACAGAACCTCCTTCCTTCCGGGATGGTCAGAGCCAGGTTGCAGGACTTCAAAAGAAGGGAATCTGGAGCACTTCCAATACCCATCTTTGACACATTCAAAGCAGCCTTTGTAAGCAAATCCAGGCAGCCTATATCCCTTGCCACCTCCAGTTGGCATGTGGCCTAGGTCAAAGTCTGCCTGGATTGTTGCTATTAGCTGCTGACAAATCATCCCCAACTCCTGGCGAGCCCATGCACCCGGGAATGAAATGCTGCCCAGTCCTGAAGCAACCTGATTCATAGGATGTGGACTGGCTACTTTCCTGAAGTAGATCGCTGAGCCTTTCTTAGTCCATCTCAGCCTGGAAGCTTCAAGGAACCCTATACAGCATCACAGGGACACACTCGTTCAGCTCTGGCAGCTGATTTGAGCCACACAGAAACAAATATACATCAGTGATTCTCCCCAGCACTAGGAATGGAAGAGATTCAAGGACTATGTCCTGGAAGTACAGTTTTAGGGCCTCAGATCTGTAGGAGACAGTAGAGAAAACAACCCCAGTATGTCTGTGCTTCAGAGAAAGTGTGTTTCCTTAGTTTCCGGGCCAGGAGAAGATGAGATCTGAGCCTAATAATCTTCTTCCTTCTTAGCATATTTATCAGAGAAAATATAGGCAGTTGTTCTTTGAATTGTCCTCTCAGAGCATCTCATTCACTTAATTAGCATGTATAAGACTTAGGGAGGAATTTTTTTCTCCTTTTTGTACTTTACTGCATGCACTTGTTCTGCATCACAATGAACTACTGAACTGCTAAATCCTTTCAGCAGGTTTATTTTCCTTTGAATAATAAAAGGAGGGTGCCACAAATTTGGCTGTCCTTTGTTGAATGTTTATTATGCTGACAGTTTTTATTATGTTTCTATTTTTCTGAAAATAACAACAGTGACTATTACTTTCCAGGACCATGGAGCATAATGTATGCCAGAGAGCAGAGTGTAATATATACAGGAAGAGCCAGTTAATATTTACAAAGAATAAACTAAAGCTGATTTTTGCATCTTTCTAACCTTGAAAGGTTGGACTAATTTCCTGCAAGGGGGGTGGGGGGAGGGGAGAGAGAGATAGTGAACATGCTGTGTTATAGGATGGCTAAAGGTGATCACATGGAAGGGAGCTAGGCATCCATGACTGAGCTGAGATTTTGGTCCCGGTGCCGAGTGCTTTAGATGTCCTGTTATTATTGTTGGGAGCTCCTTGGTCAACTCTGACTCAATAGCAAAGTAGGTGGACTACTAAACAAAAGGTTGGAAGTCCTAATGAACCTGGAAAAGTTTCAAAAGATGGAGTTCATGAACTGCTTCCAAAAGGTCATAGCCATTGAAACTCCCACTCCGAAGACTGAAAGATGTTGCTATGACGAGGCACCCTCCACTCGGTTCTGCCTCACGGCGACCCGAAGTGTAACAGAACGACACACCGCCCAAGACTGCACCAGCCACGCTTCTGTTGGAGCACATTGGCGCAGCCACCAAGCTCATCGAGGGCCTTCCCCCTTTTCACCGCCCCTCCAATTTTCCAAGCATGATGTCCTTCTCCAGGGACTGGTCTCTCCTGACAACCTGTCCAAAGCACAGGAGATGAAACCTTGTCATTGTTGTCTCTAAGGAGCTTTCTGGCGGTGCTTCTTCCAAGACACCTCTGGTGGTTCTTTGGGTACTCCAGGACACCTTCACAAATCTTGGTCAACGCCATAGTTCAAATGCATAAAGTTTTTTTTTTCCGTCTTTTTTATTTAATGTCCTACTTTCACATGCATATGAGGCAATTGAAAATACCATGGATTGAGGCAGGCACACCTTAGTCCTCAAAATCATACTCTTATTTTCAATACTTTAAAGAGAACTGTGCAGCAGATTTACCTAATACAGTGCATCCATTTCTTTTTTTTAAGCATTTTATTGGGGGTTTGTACAGCTTTTACTATAATCTATACATATACATCCATGTGTCAAGTACATTTATATATCTGTTGCCATCATCATTTTCAAAATATTTTGTACTTGGCCCTTGGTATCAGCTCATTTTTTTCCCCATTTCCTTCATGAACTCTAAATAATTTCTAATTTTTTTTTCATATCTTACACTGTCCGATGTCTCCCTTCACCCACTTTTCTGTTATCCGTCCCCCTGGGAGAGTGTTATAGGTAGATTATTGTGATCGGTTCCCCCTCTCTCCCTACCTCACCCTTCCACTCCTCTAATTATTGGTCCTGAGGGTTTTATCTGTCCTGGAATCTCTGTCCTGGAATCCAAGATCTTATCTGTACACGTGTATTTGCTCTGGTCTAGCCAGATTTGTAAGGTAGAATTAGGGCCATGATAGTGGGGGGAGGAAGCATTGAAAAACTAGAGGAAAGTTGTATGTCTCATTGGTGTGCTGTATTGTACCCTGACTGGCTCATCTCTTCCTTGTGACCTTTTTGTAAGGGAATGTCCAATTGTCTACAGATAGGCCTTGGGTCTCCACTCTGCACTCCCCCTCATTCACGATGATTTGATCTTTTGTTCTGGGTCTTTGATGCCTGATACCTGATCCTATCAAAACCTCATGATCATGTTTCTTCCATGTGGATTTTGTTGCTTCTCAGCTTGATGGCTGGTTTGTTATCTTCAAGCCTTTAAGACCCCAGATGCTATATCTTTTGATAGCTGGACACCATCAGCTTTCTTCACCACATTTGTTTATGCACCCATTTTGTCTTCAGTGATCATGTCAGGAAAGTGAGCATCAGGGAATGCTGGATTATTAGAACAAAGTGTTCTTACATTGAAGGAGTACTTGAGTAGAAGCCCAATGTCAGTCTGCTAACTTAATACTTAACATATAAATGTATGTACATAGACTTATTTTCCTATTGCTATATATAAATATATTTACATATGTACATGCCTGTATTTAAACCAATGTAAATGTTCTTTGCCACCTAGTTCTTTCCTCTGTTTCCTTTTAGTTTCTTCTTGTCCCACTTTCATGTTTGGCCTTCATTCAGGTTTCAGTAATTCCTCTCCGTTACATTGCCCTTGATCAAATCCTACCAGGCCTCCTCCACCCTCCTTGCCATTGATTTTAGATCACTTGGTTGTTCCCTTGTCCCTGGGTTTATTAACAGCTACTTCCTTTCTCCAGCCTCTCCCTCTCCCGTGTCCCTTCGGAACCATGGGTCCCGATGTTTTCTCCTCCGAATTGTTTATCCCGCCTATCTTATCTAGATAGACATGCAGAGACATTAATAAGCACAAAAGCAAGAGGAAAACAAAACAACAACAAAAACATTGACAAAAATGGAAAAGCCTATAGATAGTTCCAGGCCTGTTTGTTGACATTTAAGTGTGTTTTCCAGTCCAGTCTGATGGGGTGCCACATTCTGGCCCCAAAGTCTATTTTTGGTGTTCCCCAAGGACTTTTTTGATTGTTCCACTTGCTGCTCTGTTGCATGCCCTTAGCATTTCACTCCAGTGTGGTGGGGTCATATCGGGCACAATTCCTGCACTGTGTCTCCTGTGTTGCCCCTCCTAGCACTATGGGACAGTGAGGGACATCATGTCTCGTGATAGGGCCAGCCCTATGGTCCTTTCTGTGCACTGGCTGCTCTGAGCAGGAATATCATACTCGGGGCTTGGTGGGCCAGGATGTGTTCCACTCTCTCTCCCCTCTTCATTTGCTCCTGTGTACTCTGATCAGATGTGCCCCTCTTTCTGAGCTGTGGCTTCAGCATTGTCCTCTAAAGTGCATTCTTTTGGGGGTAGGCCAGGGAGGGCTCCATATAGTTATGGCCAGCCCTGCAACCTCTTCAATTGATTTCTTAACGGCTGCTCCTATAATCATTGAAATATATGAGTTGCCATAACTTAGAGTTCACTCTATGACAACTGATTATCGTTATTTTTGTTGTCAGTACTTTTTACATCTTCGACTTGAAACTTGCTCAAATATAATGGAGGAAAGAGTAAAAGATGTGAAAGGAGAGCATATAAAGAAAAGGACATAGATTCAAGAGACACCTCATTCTCTCCTTCAGGAAAAAAAAGGTGTTCTTTTGACTTCAGATTCAGAGTTAAAATTAAATCAATTTTGTATATCTTTAAACAATGGTGACTTGCTGTGTTATCAACAGATTTTCAAGTGTGTTCATGCTTTGTGCATTAAATATGATTTACACATATTGCATATAAAATGAAATACAATTGATTTCCTACCATCTGTTCCAAAACCTCTTTGATGTTTACATTGTAATATTTTATTGCTTGAATAATGATTCTTTGTTAGTGCTTTTCACCTTCCAAGCTCCATATAAATGTTAAGTAATTAATTTACACAGCACCCAAAAGAGACCAGCTTCTAAAATTATATAAACCTCTTATTTTGCCCATTAGGAAACTGAGGCAAAGGATCCCAGGACCTTGTAAATCACTGTCAGAGAAATTTAGTCACAATATCATTATTTTTCACCTGCTCCTTAAATTACTCTGCCCAATCCAATAATAGCCATGAGGGACATGTGGTTAAAACCATATTGATTTCCCTTCATCCTCAGAGATGATGTTTCGCATGCTAATTCCCTTTGGTAACCATGACAGGGAAAAAAATGTATATAAACAGACTTATAGCACTGCTTATCTTGAATGCCCATAATTTGTGTTGGGGTTTTAACACCTGACGTTATTTTGGAGTAACTTAGTGGGGCAGAGAGGAGCCCTATGTAGTGGCTATGGTTTGGACTGCTAACCCCAAGGTCAGCAATTCAAAGCCATGAGCTGTTCCGTGGGAGAAAGGTAAGGCTTTCTGCTCCCATAAAAATTCACAATCTCAGCAACACATAGAGTCGCGATGAGTTGGGATTGACTTGATAGACGTGTGTTATTTTTTTTGTTTTTGTACTGTAGAGGAGTGAGACACAGATCAAAACTGAAAAAGGAGATAAATAGTTCCATTTGCTGAATATAATGTTCCAAGGCCTTGGGATCTGAACATTTAAAGAGCTTCGGTTACTTGTTAGCAAGTCAGTTGCAACGCAAGTGTCCATATGTACAACGGAGCAAAACACTGTTCTGTCTCATCCTATCCTAATAACCAATTGCTATGTTTGGGCTCATTGTCACCGTCACTGTACCAATCCATCCGTAAAGGGTATTTCTGTTATTTTTACTGACCCTCTACCAAGCATGACGCCTAAGTACTGGTCCCTCCTGGTAATATGCCCACAATCATAATTCAAATGTATCAGTTCTTTAGTCATGCTTTTCATTGTTCCAATTTTGTGTATATTTGAGAACATTGAAAATACCATGGGGTAGGGCATTAAAGTGACATCTTTACTTATAAACACTATTTTTTAAAAAAAACACTTTTACAACAGATTCACCTAATGGCATATAACATTTGATTTCTTGACTTGTGTTTCGATGGGTATCAAATAAAGATCCAAGTAAATTCAATCCTTGACAAGTTAATACCTTTCTCTGTGGGTCATGTTTTTGCTTGTTGGCCCCGTTGTGAGGAGTATGGTTTTCTTTATGTCTGTGTCTGATCCATACTGAAGGGCGTCGTCTTCGTTGGTAAGTACTTGAAGTACTTTTCACTTTAACCAAGCAGAGGTTCCTATTAAGCCTTCCTCCATTCCTGCTATAGTCTTCATATAGTCTAGCTGCTCAGAATACAAATTAAATCAATATGTTGAATGTGTAGAACCTTAATGCATCCTGATTGGAAATCATGCAATATTCCCACTTATATTCAGTTTTCTCAGAACCCCCATTCTCCAAAATGTAATGCATATTTTGTCAGCATTCACATAATTGAGTACTTTTGCAAAGTCAATAAAGCACAGATAAACATTACTCTGGAATTCTCTGCTTTTGAACAAGATTGCTAACAAATGTGATATCTGTCGCTGAAGATGTCATAGTATTTGATGGAAAGATGGAATGCTAACAAAGAACTTAAAGGCTCAAATGCTTATATGGAATATCTAAAGAGGCCTTCTTGTGTTAGGCAGGTTTGTCTAGAGAAACAAATCCAGAGACACTCATGTATGTGTAAAAAAAGCTGTATGTCAAGCAGCAATCATGCATCAATAAAACATCTCATCCCAGTCCAACCCAAGTCCATAAGTTTGATACTAGTCCATAAGTCCGATACTAGTCCATACATCCTTTTTCAGACTCACACAGCCACATGCAATGATGCAGAATGCAGAGAGATCATCGGCCACTGGATGAAAAGTCTTGTGGATCCAAGAGCACTAGAAGCCTCACCGGATGTGCCAGCAGGAAGGTGAAGGCGGAGAGAGAGTGGGAGGTTCACAGGACCCTCCTAATGAGGAGGTCACACCCACACGGAGGCACCATCAGGCTGTGCTTTCATTGACAGGCTAGACTCCACCCCTGCAAATCAAGTTGGCATGAAATTATGTAACTACCACAATTGTCTTCTTTAATACTAGGATTGTACAAGGGAGTACCCCCCAAAACACACACACTCTCACACACACACACACACACACACACACACACACACACACACACTACAAAACAAGGGAAAAACTCAGCAAAGTGGAGCTTTTGTAGTACCAATTTTTCCCACTAGGCAAGCATCAAGCAACTCTGAGTTAGTGCATCTAGTGGCAAGGCGTAGAAAGGCTCTCTCTGGTCAGTGACTTTTTCATAAAAGCAGTTTCATTCAAATCTCTGTTTTTGTGATGGCCAATTTAAAAGAACAGCATGCAGCTGTGAAATTTTGTTTCCCTGCAGAAACTGTTGTGATGTTGAACACAGCTTACAAGACACCACTACGGAAACAACTCAAGTGTACAATTGGGTTTCTACATTCAAAAGAGGTGAAATGTTGATTGATGACAAACCTCATTCTGGATGTCTGTCAACTTCCCAAATGGATGAAAATATCAACAAAATTCACACACTTGTGCTTAAAGACCAACAATGGACCATTGAAGAGATGGGGACGTTATCTGGACTATATTGGAGCTCGGTTCTGCAAGTTTGAGTAGAAGAGTTTGGAATGAGAAGGGTTGCTGTGAAAGTTGAGCCTTGGGTTCTGATTACCAGCAAAAAGAGCATAGACTGGAAGCATGTTGTGCTTTGAAAGGACAGCTCCGAAGCAACCCATACTTTTTTCCCCACTGTCTTGATTGATGTTTGCTTCCAGGGTTGTAAGAATAGCACCATGTCTCATCACCAGCCAGTGGAAGACTCCATTCATTATCACCTCCCACAATAAAAGCTTTTAACAGTGTGTGACAACAAAGGCATGATTTGTGATAGACGGGGGACTGGTTTTGCCACTATGACAATGTATCTATTCACAAAGTCATCTCGGTGCATCAGTTTTTGGCAAAAAAAACCCAACCAACCCAGTGTGCCTTTGTTGCCCCAAGCACCTTACTCACCTGACCTTACTGCCTGCAACTTCTTTGTGTTTCTGTGAATGAAGAGGGACATGAAAGAATAGCAATTTGACGACATAGAAGAGGTGAAGGAAAAATGAGGAGGTGCTGTCAGTCATTCAAACAGATGAGTTTGAAAAATATTTACAAGAATGGAATTGCAGATTTGATGCATGTACTAAGTGTCATGGAGAGTACTTTGAAAGTGATCTGGTTGTTTTGTAATTAAAATACAAAGCTTTGGGGGGGTGGAATCCTGGTTTTTTTGGGGGGGTATCCCCTCCACTGCCCTTCTCTCACTAATGTCTAAGGTGTCCCAATGAGTCTTAACCTCAGTCATCCTGTTAGACAGGCCTTCCATTTCCAATACTGGCTGACATTGAGAGGGACTCAGCACTACTGCTCCTATGATTCCAGTTCAGGCACACAGGGGTTTGCTCCAAACACAATGTGTTTACACATGTCTCTGCAGTCAGTGTCTGGCTGCAGACAAGCTCCTTCAGCAAGCAGTGTACTGTCCTGTGTCTCTTTAGGGTGACTTCAGAAGGGGTGACTCTTGAGGGAGTTTCCTGGGCCAGTTAAGGCAGAAAGGCAGCTCAGGGGATATTGCAAATGTTATTTTGTTTTGTTGGGGATGCTCGGAAGGGATAATCTTGATAGGTTTCTTTTTGAAGGACACCGAGTCGTCATAGGAGCTTCTTAGGATATAGTTGTGTGAAAATTGAAAGTTATGTTGATGAGAAAAAGGCCAGGAAGATTGCTCTGGGGAAACTTTTTTTTCACCATCATAATCCACCTGCTTATTCTTCAAGGGAAGCTAGAGCTGTCCTATGAGCATTGCATTAGAAGCGTTTCCTCTATCGAGGCTACAAGCCTGATGTTGCTCCTTCAGATTTATCTTTGTTCCCAGACTCAAATCACATGGAAAAGGAACATGATTTAAGTCTCTTGAAGATGTCAAAACAGCTAGTTTGACATGGTATGAAACAGAGAGTGCAGAATTGTTTTAGAGATGAATCAGAGAAATGAAACCCTCAGAACCATGTAGATATAGTCTGAGAGTATGCCAAAATAATAGTTTTGCATTTTTGATATTTTATGTCATTGATTTTATAGGAATACTTTTCCATCTCTTTTCCATCTCCCAGAAGTTATATTCTATCTCTACTATGAAAAAGTTATGTGTTATGTTGTGATCCTTCCAAAAGATTCAGTGTCCCAAATGAGAAGATAACCCATCATGCTGATTCTTATATGTAAATATAAAAATAGAGCCCTTTCTTTTTTTGTTGTTTTTTTAAAATCGTTTTATTAGGGGCTCATACAACTCTTATCACAATCCATACATACATCAATTGTGTAAAGC